GCAACGATCGATCATCAAATATCTCTAAAATTTCAAGATATGTCATTTACTGAGGGACCTCTTCATGGCAATGGAAATAATAATCGCAGAGACAATGACCCTTTTTTGAGAATAGGTAGCAATGTAGTACCTGTATACCTTAATGGCGGTGAAAGGAGCAAACCCCATTCTTCTTTAAAGCATGTAATCGTCAATGTTGGATTTGAACATGAATGCCCCCGTGGCCATCGTTTCCTGTTAAATGCCGATCATCTCACTGAACTTGGATCTTTTTACTCTTCGTCTGACGAATCTCATTTATCTTCTTCTATGGAGCCCACTGAAAGAAATCAGGCATCTCATACTAGAGTAAGCAATAATGCTTCCCGGTCAAAAGTTCATCGAAACTCAAATGAAATTCTTTCTGCATCCATTAATAAGGAAAGACAAGTTGGAAAGTCAAATGAAGTCATTCCTAATGGTTATCTGAATGCTGATGGACCAGTATATACTTCTATTCCACTGAAGGAAAAAAATTTGACATCTGTGAATATATTGGCAAAACCCCCCAATCTTATGAAAGAAAGTGGACGGGATCTGCATGCTAATAACAAGGGTGATGATGAACTTGCATTCTCCATGCTGAACCGAAATTTGCCTATCTATATGATCTGTCCTCACTGCAGGCGTTCTAGGAATAAGAAAGATACAGCAGAGGTTAAATTTGCTAGTGGTATCTCACAGCTTAAAAGAATTTTTATGGTATGAGTTTCACCTGATATAAGCATTTAATTTAATTAAGTTTCAACAGCATCACTTGATTTTAATACCGAAAACTGTTCAAATTTGTGTTTTCTTTTGTTTTTATGTTTTACACTTTGTCTGTGAAGTACACTTGTTGCACACTTTCTTTTTGTAAAAAAAAGAGGCTAATATCACCCTAATTAAATTTGCTTTCATCTCCTTTAACTTATTTCACTTTCTTTTTTTTATTGCATGAAAACCAAACTTTCTATGAATGCATTTCAAGGTAAGGACTCGTTTATTGATGTGGACCAGTTTCTCTAACAAAATTTATGCTTGTTATACTGTTAAAGAAAGACACCATGTGGATAATGAAATACTTTCAACCTTGATGTAGTGACTGGTTTTCTTTGTTGAAATAAAGGAAAAAACTTGCATAAAGTTCTCAAGTCAGACTATGCAACCGGGATGTATTTTTAATAGTGAATACCCTCCATTAAGAATATGTTTGTGAATTGGAAAAAATATATCTTGGTGTAATTTTTTTATTTGATAACTTGTTGGTGATATAAAAATCTTGATCCAAGTTTTTCCACTGTAAAACCAAAATGCTGAACCGCCTATTGTTTTATAGACAATTGTGTTTTTCCATTTGGCATCTGCAAGACTAAATTGACTTGTAACTAATGAACCATTTATCATTAACAATTTTTGGTAGCCATTAACATGAGTTGTTGAAAACTGTGTTGTTGATTTTGCTGGCGAATGTATTGGATGCCACATGATATTTGATTTTCAGTTTATTTTCATGTTATGATGATAATTGTATTGTAATATAACAATTGCTATTATTAGATCAGCTACCTAATGTATATATCTTGCTGTAGGTCACACCAGAATTTCCTGTAATTCTAGCAACACGCCCTGTTGTTCAATTTGAGGTACGCCTTTCTTCTTTTGGCGTGCATTTTTTGGATATTTGAATGTAATTTAAGAAAAGCGTACATGTTTAAAATGCCAAAGACTCAGGTAGATAACAGTAATACATCTCGACGAAATGGGTGTTTCAAGTTGGGAGTAATGTGTCCCCTATTTTTTTTGGAGAGAAACTACCTTCTGTGAATTTGGCCCAACTTATTTTACAGCATATTTTATATAGAAGAGTGGATTTCTTTTTGGTGTTAAATTTATGTGGGTTGGGGATATTTTATTAAATCCATTTTCTGCATGTTTGATTGCTCCTTTCCAGCATTGATGTTTGGACTTCTAAAATTGTATTAATGTAGCTATACTTTTGTTATTCTTCTCAATTGTATAATCATCACATTATTTTGTCCTTGTAGACGTCATGCCTGCCTCCATCAGTTCCGGATCGTGAACAGAAATTGCAGTTTAGCCTGGGATGTCAAGTAATCTTGCCACCAGATAGTTTCCTTACCCTTAAATTACCATTTGTTTACGGTGTGCAGCTTGAAGATGGAAACAAGCATCCTCTTAATCCCTTTGAACAACAGCCAGAAATGACTGCCTGGATTACCAAGGGCACAGTACTGCAGATCTTGTCCAAAGGGAGCAGTGATGAGGGATATCAAACATAGTAAATGCTGACTAAATCTTTGAGTGGCCTATTTTAAATCTAAATGAAAGGGTTTCAATAGCTGATCCAGAACCCAGGTGAAAAGCCCAACTACCCCCTCCTCCTCCTTTTAGCTGACATTGTGTTTTGGAAATTTAATGGGAAAACTGAGTGATTATGTGACTATTAAAACTAGATGTGATATATTAAAGGAATTAAAATTATATTATGCAGAGTGATTACATGGGCTTTACTCACAATACAATTTTCTATCAACACTAATTACACTTTAAAAATAGGTTAGTTCTATGGTGTTAAAATGAGATAAATTTTGCATCATGCACAAGTTTGTTTCCACCATTGGATCAATACATTCCACCATTGGATCAAATGAGATATGTTGTCTTATTGTTCTAATGTTAAAAAAGCACACTTTGCATGATGCAAGACTATCTTACTTGTGCACATTAGACAGGCTTAAAGGTACAGAAGTTTTTTACCGATGAAGTTAAATATATAGTCATTTATTATTTTTAGGAAGAAGTTTTCTCAATTATCTCTTTAGGCCTAAAAATAAGTAAAATTGATTAATCTGTATAATTTATGACTAACTTTTTAGTTACCTCTAAAGCAATGAATGTTTTAGAGTTCTATGCACTTTTTTAGCCAAATTACAGGAAATTGAGTGCTTTCAAATATCCTGTTAACTGAGTGGCAAGTGTCTCACATCAGACACTTTCATTAGAGCTTGTTGAATTGATGCCTTTAACAGTTGTCATCTGTGAAATAATTGTGTTTGCAACATTGCTGGCTATTCCTTTTTTAGCTGGATTTACAGTCATATTACCGAGTTATAGTTAATACAGTTATGAACTCATGATTAGATGTGTGTGCAGGATGAGGAATTTTGTGGATGTGGAGTATGGTCTGAAATGAATTTACTGAGCTGTAATGGAAACATATGAGATTCATCATTGTTCAGAATTAACTGCTTTAATCCTAGTAAGGTATGATAATGCTTAAAAAGAAAAAGGGTATGATAATGTGGAGTATTTATACTTGTCAGATTTTTAAATTACCTTTTGGACGGCTTTGTAGCATGTTCATCTGCTCTTTCTATAATCTCGTGTGGATGAATCATAAATGCGAATCCGTGGATTGAATTTTGCTGTCTGGATTTATTTGGACGATACTTGCTAAATGAAAGTATTCTACAATTGAGGGGAGTCTGTGATTTGCACATCAATAGCCAGAGACCTTGAATTGTGCTAGTAATGGTAAGTATGTTAATGTTGTCCTGAATCTGCTAGTAATTGGAAAAGCAACATTGGAGCCTTTAATTGATTTGTGCTTGTTTATTTTCTTGTGACTGTCACTAAACCTTCCTACCATTGAGTCTTACAGGAAAGTGAAATCATGCTTGCAGGTGAAACCCCACAAAGTTTTAGTTGATGAAAGGTTGGATGGCATCATCTGCTGCATAGAATATGATGCGACCAAGGCACTGGTTTTTGTCTTTAATGTAATGATGTTGCTCTTCAATGTGAAACACATCAATATATGAGCAGATGCATCGATTTTGGTTTTGTCCTGTGCACTATGTGCGCAAGGGTATTTAGCTTTTTACTCCAAGAGGCCCTGGAATGTGATAATTCTATAAATGTTATGCCTGATGATGTCGAATTTGTTTCAGTGTTTTAAGTTCTTGGCTTAGTGGAAGCTTGCTGAACATCAAATGTGATGAAAATTGTGTACCGAAGTCTGAAGGCGATCTTTTTGAAAGACTTTGCATTGTATTTTCTGTATTTTTTTTTTTTTTTTGGATTTTGGCAACTATCTTATTGATGTGAAATATCTACTGACTTTTTCGATGACTAATGCCAGAGTACTTCTGCCCGACTTTATTGAGGTCTCCTTTCCAACCATATTTGTACTGAATTGTATTAATATTTGATTTTTATTTAGTTAGGCTTTGTTTGGGAGTTTGGAGGAGAAGAGAGAGGACTTTGAAAAAAAGAGAAGGGATTTGGAGGACTTACATAAATTGTTGAAGTATAATGTATGTTGTTATAGTATTTTAAAAGTTAAAAATAGGTTAATGATAAACATTCTTTTATCATTTTATACCATTTTTTTTCAAACTTTGAAACAGAGTCTTAAGAAACTCTATTAAATAGAGTAAAGATGTATTGTATTTCCCATTGATATAAAATGTTACATACACATTTCATCAATTTTGAGGGACCATTAGACCAATATGAAAAAGATAAGGTATATTAGTGTTTACGCATTCTAGGGAAAAATTAAAAATGCAATCAAATTGCTATAGTCTTTGACCTAAAAAAATTCTCTATGCACCTTTAGTGGTGCTCACGCATTCTAAAGAAAAATAAAATAAAAAATGCGTTTAAATTTTCAAACTTTCAAACTTGAAACTTGATTTTCGGACTAGTTAAAATACAATTAAATTGTTCAAGTCTTCGATCCAGAAAAATACAAAAGTTAAGTTCCGTATTTCTTATGGAGATTAACTTTTGTACGCGTTTGAGTTTTATAATGCGTCAGGTCTTTCCTCTCTTATGGATATCTCAAATTCTGATGTATATAGAACAAGGGGGTTTTTCCATCCGATCCCGCAGAAGCTACGGTGATCAAAAGAAGAGTTAGTACATATACCGTCATCGAAGAAACTATGTATAGAATGAGCTTGTCTATCCCTTTGCTAAGATGCTTGGGGAAGGAACAAGTTGTTTACACTCTCTTGGAAATACATGAAGGAATACCGGGTAACATTTTGGTGCTAAAGTATTGGCCAAAAAGGTTTTGAGTGCAGGATACTACTGGCCATTCATAGTTCAATATTTGAAAGAATACTTGAAGAAATGCGATCAATACCAGCGACATGGAGGCATCTTCAATGCCCTATCCTCAAAAATGCATGTGTTGACATCATCTTGACCATTCTCGCAATGAGGATTAGATATTCTAAGTCAGTCTGCGCTAGCTATAGGCCAACTTAAATACATGATAATAGATGTGGATTATTTCACCAAGTGAGTCGAAGCAAAAGCACTGTCAAATATCACAGAGGCAAATGTCCCGAAGTTCTTCAAACGAAGCATCTTGACGAGATTTATAGTTCCTCAAGCCATTATGATAGACAATGGAACATAATTTATAAACAAGAAGGAGAAGAGTCTGTTGGAGGAATTGAAGATCAAACAACATTTCGCATCAGTAGAACACGCCCAAACAAACGGGTTATCAGAAGCGTGTCGCGTCACGAATAAACACATAGTCGCCACCAAATTTTATTTATCCCGAAGAAAGGGAAAATATCGAGAAAACCCTAAAAGAAAGGATAAGATGGTCTTGCGACCAAGAGAAAGGGTACAAAAGTCGATTACGCGATGAGGAATGTATTAACACCCATTGCGTCGTGGTACTCCACGAGATTCACTCTTGTTGTTCTAATCAAAGGGTGTGTTATATCTAATGCTTACTTTCTAAGTGAATGCATGCACGTGTTGCTTAAGAAAAATACAGATAAAACAAAGGTTTTAAATAATTGTGTTCGCTTAGGTCCTGCAACCTAATGCCTACATATTCCTTTTAAGGAATTAAAGCGTCGTAGTTTGGCTCAAAAAGTTTGGTTTATTGTGTTTTTTTATGAGTGACGAACCCTTTTGAAAAGGTTTTGGATTACACCCTCAAGGAAATGTGCCACGTTTGATTAGTTTGTATTTTGTTATTTGTGAAAGTGTTTGAGATACACACAATACTAAAGTCTACGACGTGAGAGACTTTTGGATGGTCGGGTCAGACGCCTCGTATCCAAAGTACTCCACACGTGCTTAAGGCTCGTGATGTATTGGTACCCATCATATTTTTTAGGTGTTTTGAATTTGCTCAAGAAAATAATTTTAGTTTTAAGAGTATGCAATGTGAAAGAAAGAGAAAAAGACTACGAGAAATTAATCTTAATGTTGTCATACAAAGTAGACGTAAAGTTAGGATCAAGGGAGTTCTACTTAATTGTTGTCATGCTTGATTTTAAAGTCCTAAAGTCTAATTAATCTAATTTAATCAAGAAATTAAAATTGCATTAAAAATCCTAAGAGAATATGGTATTATCAATCAAATCAAACAAAAATCAAAAGAATTAAAATTTTATTCTATTATTTTTCATGTCATTTTATCATGCGGATTTTTTTTTTACAATTCTAAACAGTTAACAACATCAACTAAAAATAGAAAATACAATAAGATAAACCATAGGATGCAAGCAGCAAGCAGAAGGCATGGCCAGCAAAATCTAAGCTCAGTCTAGAAATGGTCCATCAACAATTTTTGTGTAATATCAATCAGGCTTCAAAAATGATGCACACAGTCCTTCAAATTTCTTTCATCATCTCCCTCGTCTTCATCTTATCTTTCTATTTCCAGGCCTCAATTCCTCAGATTATCACCCTTACGTCCTACATCTAGGAAAACCAAAAACCCTAGCTAATCTAAAATCTGGAATTGAATGGTTACGTTGATTAATCGGAGCTTGAAGCCTTAGGATTATCATTCAGCAATACGGAACGTACACCATGGTAACAAGATTGGTGAAAAGAGATCGAAGAATCAGAGAGCGTCAAGACTTACCTACCAGAGTGATTCCAGTGATTCTTCAAAAGCTGCGAAACCAATAGAAGTCCAGAGAATCTTGATTAAGGTTAGTACTTCGTCCTCTTTCTTAGCTCAATTTTTTTTTAGATTGTTGCGTATCTTCTTCTTCTTCTTTCTTTTTCTGAAATCTTATCAGGAGATAGGTAATTATTGTTGTCCCCTTCTTGAGTGAAGGGCTTCGTGAGGTGATTGTAAGACTTGCAATGAGAGTGAGAAATAGAGAGTTGCAGTTGATTGATGAGTGGAGCTCGAAAATGATGAAGGTGATGATGGAGCTGTGATACGATGATGTGTGTTCATAGAGTGAGAGGTTTTGACGAAGATGAATCGAAATTGAGAGAAAAATCAAAGAACTTGAGAGTGAATGTGTGGATTCATGGAGAGTGAAAGATGAAGCCAAAGAGTTTGAAGGTGAGAATGGTGGTTAATCTATTGAATGAAGGTGAGGTTAGCTTATATAGGTTGATGAAGGTGGTGAAAACGGTTAGAGAAGAGAGGATCAGAGCCTTTGATGATTGATAGTTTGTTAGAAGATCCAAGGGTCAAGATTGAATCGGTTAGGGAGTTAGTTACTATAGGTATATGTGAGGTAGAATTTGGTTATAACAGTTAGGAGTTGATTATTTTCTGTTATGAGGGTTAGTGTGAGCTGGCACTGTTGGTTATAGTTAGTTTAAAGTTTAGAAGTTAGTTTAGAAAACTCTTTGAAAATTAGTTAGAATGTGAATTTGTTAGAAGTTGAGTTAATGATCCTTTCGGCTAACTATTTTATTGCATATCCGTTATGGCTTGAGATTCTGTTATTTAGAGTGTGATACCGAGCTGGCCAATTTCCTCCTGCTTCTGATTTTATGACTTTCCATTTTTCTCTTCATCACCTTCTGATTTAATTTTTCTGCCGTGTTAGTTTGCGGATTTTTTATATAATGAGCTACTTAAGCTTCATCTTGTGCTTGATTTTCCGTTAACATCAAAATATGCAGGACTAGACTCTTGGTGGCGAAAGTGAGGATCTGCCATAATGTTACGCCGGTACAAGATATGTGCTATTGGTATACATGGTTGACATAAAAAGGAACAAGTGCATGGCTTTATAAAGTAATCAGCTTAGCACATCAAACGTACCATATCTATCCACCTATAAGTCCATCTCGGCATTTCTTGTCCTTTGAATTTTTTTGTTTGCTCTTATTATATACGTGTTTGTAGTAGCAGCATTTAAATCATGCAGGCACAGTGTTTTCGCTTGCATCATTTATAGTTTCTTGAGAATCACTAATGCTAAATTGATAACCTCAGAATCTATTGAAGTTGGTGAAAGCTTGAAGCACCTTAAGCCGTCAATCGTACTCTTGTTTGAACACTTTCCAAATACCATTTCATCACCTGTAGTCTTTGTAGAATTGGATGTGTTTAAGATTTGTTTGAGCTATGTCATTGTCGGTGTATGTTGACTTGTGTGTCTTGGTGTTATGCAGGTTGAGATTATGGTTTGGTTCCCACATGACTAAAAAGAATGCTTGGACTTTGGTGATACTTACGAAATGAAGATGAATTGTTGGTGATGAAGATGGAAGTAGGGGCATAGCTTGAGGATATCACGAAGAAAGCATGAGTTTTAGAACGTTAGGATCATATTCTTTGTGTGTGTAGATTTCCCTTTGTAATGTACTTGTGGTCCAAATAGCCCATATCACTTTTAGAATTTGCAGCAGCTTGTATTATTGAAGCTTCTCTAATGATCAATAAGAAATTACCTTTTCTTTTACAAATTCAAATGGTTCTAGTTCTTATGTCCAGTAACAAGTCAATAAAAATCAACAAAGATCACAATGTTAGAGGCTTATCCTACAACAATCAAGGGGCATAAAATGGCCTATAAGCCCTCAAACTACAATAACCGCAACATTCTCATTCTTTTGTCGTTTTTTTCAAAATAGAATCCCTTTTAACTTTGTTTGAATCTTGCTTATTGAATATGAATGAAATTGAATAACCATGAATCAATATTAATCCTGAGCACAGATAGAAGTTTCAATGAATCCAAATCAATTCTCACTTATCAAAGAAACCACAATTTCAAATCTTAAACCCATATTAACTTGCATTACAAGCAACAATCAATTGAAAGAATAATGATGATATTTTGAATCCATAAATCATATCATGTACCATGTCTTTGACAAACCCCTTTCCAATAGATGACATTAACACGATGACCAAGATATAATTAACATGTAATTCCAATGAACCTCTGCTGATGAATTACAACATTCAAATGCCATGGACAAGAACCCTAATCCTCTTGAGATGCACTCCGATAAAGAAATGACACTGAGATATTGATAAGAAGCCAAGCTCTAGCTCACAAGATCTTTATCTGAATATCTGATGAAACCCTAGCATTCATAATCCCTATGGCACTTAGTTCTTGAGGTAACTTTGATAAAGATGACTTTGTCTCTTGATGACCCTACAGGAAGATACCCTTGTAGCCTAATAAGAGAGAAGCCCGCAATGAACATGAACAAAAACCCTAGCTTCAAACCCTGATGGTTGAAGAAACCAATTGATTCAACCTTGAATGAAGATGAGAGCCTAAAAGCACAGAGAAACCCTAATTCCTCAAAATCCTTGATCCCATACCAAATTTATTGATGATGCATGATTATTGTATGACCTAATGGAAAGATATGTCTGTGAGGAGAGTGAAATTCATAAGCCATGTGATTTGATAAGGGATAGGAAAAATTTGGGGTATGACAACTTTCCCTATTTAATAATCTTAAACCTGAAAGTGAGATTGGCGCCAACCTTTTGAACATTCAAGGTAGAAGAAGATTAAATATGAAGACCTGAAATTTGTCTTGTAGAGAAGATGGTATGAGTTATTATTTTTTTGTTATATCTGCTGGGGAAAGAAAATTTGGTTTTTCTAGTGGAAAGGTTTGTGATGCATAAAGGTGGTTGAATGGTAATAACTTGTAACGCGATAACGGTGCCAAGACGATGTTCTCAAGGATTATGGTTGAAAGAATAGGATCAATGACCATGGAAAGATTAATTAAAACGCGACCTAACGACAAAATAGAGGGAAGTCAAGATCAATTACAACGCGGTCTATGACCAATGAAAGATCAATTACAACACGACCTAACCACATAAAAGAATGGGAAAGTCAAGATCGATTACAATGTGATGTATAACCAAGGAAAGAGTGATTACAACACAATCTAGCCCAAGTGGATAAAAGTCAAGACCGATTACAACGTGATCTATGACCAGAAAATTATCGATTACAATGCAATCTAACCATAGGAGAAGGAAGTCAAGACCGATTACAATGCGATCTATGACCAAAAAATGATTGATTACAAGGAGATCATGGAAAGATTGATTACAACATGATCTGACCATATGAGAAGAAAGTCAAGACCGATTACAACGCGATCTCTGACTATAGAATGATCAATTACAACACAATCTAACTATAGGAGAAGAAAGTCAAGACCGATTACAATGAGGTCTCTGACCATAGAATGATCGATTACAATGCAATCATGGAAAGATCGATTACAATGTGATCTAACCATAGGAGAAGAAAGTCAAGACCGATTGCAATGTGGTCTCTGACCATAGAATGATGGATTACAATGCGATCATGGAAAGACCGATTACAACACGATCTAACCATAGGAGAAGAAAGTCAAGACCAATGAGACCATAATCTATGACCACAGAATGATCGATTACAATGCGGTCATAGAAATATCGATTACAACGGGATCTAACTAAAGGAGAAGAAAGTCAAAACTGATTACAATGCAATCTATGGCCACATAAAGATGGATTTCAATGCGACATAACCGAAGGAGAAGAAGACGGGTCGAGATTGTCATATGATCTACGACCATGGAAAGCTCGATTACAAGGTGATCTAACTAAGGGAAATGATATAAAGACTGATAAGATTCACTGGGGGAAATTGATTGCAGTATAGTGAGTGGACACATATGACAAAGTGTATTGATTTTGTTGGGGATTCAGGAGTAAAAGGTACTGGCATCGTTAGATGGGAATGGCGGTGTAGTGAAGGGCATCAACTAGGGATTTACCATCATTTTGGTGGAGGAATGGTTCGGGATTTCGTGAAAGGAAGGTTCCGAATCTGGCTTATGCTTTGTATGCATGTTTGAATTTTTCTGTGGCATAATGATCCATTTCAATGGATATGCTACGCGTTTAAAGGATGCAATGTGATGCAGTGATGATTACTATTGTACCCCAAAAATTTCCCTCTCATTTCTCAAGTAATCTCTCACAAGATCTCCTTTGGTTCAAGACTGCACTAGGGTTGATCAGCCCAAGACACATCCTCAAGCACTGATGATTGAAAATTAGGGTTTGAGATTGCACAAGGACAAATGGGCTTTTAATGCCCCATATGACTTTAATGGATCATTTTGGACTCTCAAGATTGCTCATGTCAAGTTTCAAGTCTTGGATCACATTTTGGCTCAATCAATTGATCAGTTGACCTAAAATCAGCTGTATTGGGAAAAAGTCAACTGTTGTCAATTTAAAGTCAAACTTCATAATTTTTGATCCATATCAACATCATGAACTCATATATATCATTTGATCAAGTTTGGACCATAATTCCACAAGAAATTTGATCAGATCATCAAAAGGGAAAAATGGTCAAAATTAGCGTTTTGACTAAGAAGGTGCAATTTCTGATTTTTGACCTAGCAAATGTTTGATTGGTTTAAGTTATGATATCAGGGATTAAAATGCTTAATTTTGACCTAATGGCATGGCTCAAAACATCTCTTAAGTCCAATTGATTGACAATTGATTTCCAGTCAACTGATGAAAAGTCAATTGTACATTGAAAAGTCAAACTTTGACTTTTTAGTCAAAATCAAGTGTCAAAGATCACAATTCATCAAAACATGTCAAAATATGAAACTTGTTCATCAAGAAATCAAAAAAGTCAAGATTTCATTTTGAAAAGTCAAAATTTCTAAACTTAGAAATTTTTCTAAGTGTTTGAAAATTCATATTTTTCACAACTTTGAGCCAAATTTTCACCATGATGCAAGATGATTCAAAAGAAACTTCCAAAATGAAAGTTGTAGATCTCAATTAGATCTGAAACATTGTATAACACAACTTCTCCTATAAATTCACGTATTTCAAGTTATGATTTTGTGAATACACGTTCATGAAACTTAGTGAAATTTTGCCCTAGTTTAGGCAGGATTTTGACCTAACTTTATGGAAAATTTTCACATAGTTCTAAGATGAATCTTCAAAAATGTCCAACATAGAGGTTGTAGAGGATGTTACAAGATTTCCAAAATGTCCAAGACTCATTGAGATCATACTTGAGCAAGGAGAATCGAAGTCAAGAAGTTAGGGTTTTCAAACTTGAATTACAAGCCATTTTGTGAAGAACACATAAACCAAATCCATGCTAGGTTGCATAATCTTTGCTTTGCAGGCCTCAAACTTGTTTGTCACTCCATAATTAATGTTTTTCACTACTGATAGGGTCTTTGTCCAAGCATTTGAGCCATTATCCAAGTTGCATTTCCATTAATGGAACAAAGTAACATTGCCATTCTAGTAAAGAGGCTTTAATCACAAAGTCAACTTGTCTTGAGCTTTGCATTTGTTCTTTCTGAATATGCATCATCTACACAATCAGATAAGCATGTTTAAAGTGCCTGACCACTTTAGATATCCTGGTACCTTGCCTTGGAACAATGCTTGTTAAGCTTGCTTCAAAAACAAGCAAAAAACCATAACATGTGAGACACTATTATGCAACCTAGGACACGAGCTTGAAGATCCTGAAACACTCCCAAACTCCCTCTAGCCAGAAATTGCTTCAAAAAACCATTGTTGTGCAAGTTTTGACTTTACATATCAAACTTCCATTTCCCTCGTGCATTTCTTGGCCTTTTAGTTTCAAAAGCTTCCT